CTCCTTGTTTATCTTCCAGCAAGTGGGACCCCAGATTCTGTGTAATTTGACAGCTTGGCACCATCAGCTTTCTTCACCACATTTGCTTATGTACCACTTTGTCTTCAGCATTCGTGTCGGGGTAGACTGGTGTGCTTCTTCCTGGCCGGTGTTGTTGTTTCTTAGCTAGATAGAAAGCCTCATTTTCTACCACAGGAACGGCTGGTGGTTTCAAACTGCTGACCTGCAATTAGCAGCCCAGCCTGTAACCCTGACACCACCAGGGCTCCGATGTCAATGAAACCGTCTTCAAGTTTCACAAGGTAGGGCAATTTTAAAATAACATCTTAAGCTTATGTTTTATTTTATATTAGTTGATCTTTTCTTTATGCGGTCTTCCTGTCCTTCCCAAAGTACATAAGTAAAGAGTGCCCCGCTTGTGATGGGTGTAAAGACCAACTGCGGGGTCCTTCCCGCAGCTTGCACTGCTCCATGGCACAGGAGGAGCAGCCACCAGTGTGGCGAGGCCAGTGCTTCAACTTGCTGGTCCTAGTCTGTGTGGCCTGCAAGCTCTTCTGGACCCTCAAGTCCAGCTCGGCAGCTGGCATAGCCCTGCAGCCCCTGGAGTCAGTGGGCATGGGTGCCGCCCCCCACCCCTCCCAACTGCTCTAGGGTGCTGCTGCTGCTTGCTCTGCTCTTCGGAGCCCCCATGCTGCTGGCACTGGCACTGGCACTGGCCCTGCTGTTCTTGGGCACTAGAGGCAGCGGCGCACCAGGCCCGTGTCCCCAGGCAGCCAGGGAACGAGCCCCTGGACCATGTCATCGTCCTCTCCCCTGGACCCACCAACGCCACAGTTGCTGTTTAGCATCCACCTGAAGACCCAGCCACCACCCCACCTGGCCACAGTGTCCCTGTGCTAGCCACAGAACTGGTGACCACCAAGACAGCCGGCCCTGAGCAGCTGTAGCCGTGGAGAGACAGGAGGATGTCCTGCCCTCCCTGTGGGCTGCCAGCCAGGGTGGGTAGAAGCACCCCTCTGCCCCTTTCCTGGGAGCCTGCATGGTCTCCTGCTAAACCCTGGTGGACCCACAGACACTACACCCCAGGGGTGTACCTGCCCGGACCACTCCTGTGTTGGCATGGGGATTCTGACTGTACTATCTTTGATAGCCCTGGCAAGGCAATCGTAATGGAGATAAGAGATTAGCTGGCCAGGCTTAAGCTTGTAGCTCAAACCAAAAAACCCAAACCAGCTGCCTGTCAACTTGACTTCGACTCTGTGCAGCTCCCTGTGCTGCTGATTAGGGCAGGGGTCCTTTGGTTCCCAAGGCTTCCAAGAGGTCTCTGAAGGCCACTCTGGTTGGCTGAAAACCTCTAACCTTTCACTTGGCAGTCAAGCCCTTAACTCTTTGTGCCACCCGGTGACCCCTAGCTGTAAGCAGGTCTTGTGTCTCTTTGATGCTTGTTCTCAGAGCTCTCCTGCTTTTGAACAGATGCAAAGGGGAGGCAATGAGTCATGAACTTCATTTGCTGTGGGATTTGGGGATGGAAAATAGCGAGGATTATGTTGATTCTCATGTATCTGTATCCTGCGGTTGACCACGGGCTCAGCCCAACCTGTGGTGTAGCGGTTATACAGCGGGCTGCAATCTGCGAGGTTGGAAGTTCAAAACCACCATCAGCTCCTCCAGAGAAAGACTGGGCTTTCTACTCCCGTAAAAGTTACAGTCTCGGAAACCCACAGTGGGTCTCTACGAGTCAACCTTGACTC